CAGAACCAAACATGATAAGACTGTACAAAGATGATTTCTAAGATTACTCCAGCTGTCCCATCACACTTTACCCAGCCAGAACCGAACATGATAAGACTGTACAAAGATGATGCCTAAGAGAGTACTTTTGTTTTATCACATATTCCTCAGCGAGGATAAAACATCTGACAACGTAAATGGATCCTTAGTACTGAGACTTATTGCTTACATACATATTGAGTCAAACCCAGATTCTTACTCTCAACTAACATACTTTTGGTTTGTTACATTTTAATGTCCTGATTCATTTCATAATTTGGTGCCCATGAAAAATTAATTTTCGCTGTATTTTTGTTGACAAAATTTTATAATGTATGTTAGAGTTGGGATAACTCAACTATATTTTCAGATTTGCTTAGTTATACCATCACAATGTTTCCATTGTATGAGCTGTGATGATTGGCTGTAAGATGTGTTAAGTAGTCATGGATACAACTTATTTTGGGACAGTATAATCACCAATATTTGTCAGCAAATCTGAAAACAGAGTACAGTTATATACTAAATATTATGGAGTGACTCTTTAACCAATTTGTTTGATAAGGATTTAATTTCATTGATAAATTGATGGAGTGTTAGCCAAAAGTACACTTTATATTTAAATCTAAATTTTGACCAAACAATATCAGTTACCTATTTTCATTTATGGTGAAGAAGTATTTCCCTTTTTATTGAACCCACATTTGTCTGTTTTTGGGTCAAATATTGGTATCTCTTACAACCGATCTTCCTAATTAAGTGACTTGTTGTACCATACTTTCACTGCATTTGAAAAAAGTCCAAATTCTTTTGGTACTGTGACTCAGATTTTTTTTGCTCCTTTTTTATAACTTTCTAAGAAAGTTGTTAATAAATTGCTTATGTCAACATTTATATTTTGTACCTAATATATTTTATGATTCCAATTATTTTTTTTGAAATTTTATATAAGTTATTTGATTGTTTTGTGATAGGTGATTAATAAAGACTTGTTTCATGTATTTGCCATTTTATTTAATTTTTCTTCTGGACCTCATTTCTTGCTAAAACACTGGTACTTACAGTCATACATACTGTAACCTTTTGAGTCTTTCGATTGGGAGGAAAATCTCACCCTTGAGTCAAAAAATACCTACCATATATTATCACTGTTATATCAAGTTCAGCTGCAAACAACATAGACCCTAATCTGCCATTGCATTATGTATAGGCAAATCAGGGTGTGTTGTTTGCTCTTCTGATTACTCCGAAATCATTGCATAGATAGAGATCTGCAAGCACATTATGTGACTGCAGATCTGGGTTTATGAAGTTGGCATTTGGAATTGACTTGTAAATAAGTGTATGTTGTTGGTTTTCCAATTGTTATTTTGTGAAATGAATATCCCAATTATACATCAGTTAAATTGATTTTAGCACAAAAGAGCAATTTGTGAACAACATTGCTTTGGAAGTAAATATTTGTATTTTGATAAAAAAACATGGAGATGGGTCTCTTATCACATTTCCAGTTTTGTCACCAGTATTAAAATTCTATGTTCAAGGATTTGAAAGTCATATATCTTGTATTGGTTGCTGTAACATTATATTTTGCCTAATGATTCTACCTTGATATGCTGAGGTTTCCTGTTTCCTCCAGACAATGTTCATACCCTGATTTCCTCCACCTGAAGTTTGTACCCTGATATGCTGAGATTTCATGTTCCACCATCTAAACCACTCTGGTGGCCTAATGGTAGAACATCTGCCCCAGATGCAGAAGGTCACAGGTTCAAAACCCAACCAAGTCATACCAAAGACTTTCAAAAATGGTACTAACAGCTGCCTCACTTGGCACTCAGCATTAAGAGGTTAGTGTTAGGGCTGGTTGTCCTGGTGTAAGGATAATGTGACTGGGTCGGACATCATGCTACATGTCTGTGGCATGATGCCCCAGTGCTAGACATCACTATAAACTGTCACACAGCAGACATCATAGTGATATGACTGAAAAATTGTTAAAGCTACATTAAAAATCAAAATCACACACACATCAACCATCTAAAGTTTGTACCCTAATATGCTGAGGTTTCATGTTTCAACATAAGTTGGAGGCTGTATTTTTCTAACATTATTCACATTTCACTATGTTCCTTTTCTATTAATTATCACTATATGCATTCAAATGTTAAAACACATATGTAAAGACTTGTATAATGTTACAAATTGACAGATAAATTACATTAAAATCATCACAAACTTGGACAAGTAATGTGTGGCATTTCTGGCTACAGGTACATAATGTGGGATGATCAGATCAGGGTTCCTACAGGTCATGGAATCCTGGAAAAGTTTTGGAATTTAAAAATTAAATTTCAAGGGCCTTGAAAAGCTATGGAATTTGTCAAAACTTTGCAAAGTTTTGGAAAAGTAATGGTATTTGTGACAATAGAATTAAAGAAATTAATTACTACAAATTTCATAGAGCACCGTGAACTGATTAAATAAAATGGTAAAATTACAATCGATAAATGGTTTCAATTCATGTAACAAGGGTAAGTTCCCTTAATGGAAGTATCATGTGATTTCTGGTGAAATAAAAGAAAGAAACTGGAAAGTAATGTGTTCTGTTAATATTGTAAATAGGAACACATACAAAGTTTACATTGATCATTGGATTATGACATGAATTACAACATAAAGTCAAAGTATGCTTACCCAGGTAAATTTAAAATGTACATTTTAAAAATATTTGTTGACTTATTTGTTATTTTAGATTGAAAGATGTCATTCTTTATGTTCATTTACTTGACAATGCAAAATAGCGCGGTCCTTGAGTTTTATGAAATGGCCCTGGAAAAGTCATGGAATTTGTTTTTGTTAAGTCTGCAGGAACCCTGTCAGATAAGTGACACTCATAAATTATTAAATATAGACCTTGTACCATAAATTGACTGGAAGATCTAAGGATCCTACAGCATACAATTTGAATTGGATTAGAGAGGAGTGCACAAGAAACTTTATTTGTGCAAATCAACATCATGATAATCCATTTCAAGTACTTACTAAGCTATGAAATTGGCTTAGAGGTATTTCGTCTCTGAAACTGTCAAGAGTGTGTGCAATAGTTTTATTCCAAAACATCCAAAAGAATTTTCATAACTGGGTAATTCTGTTCCATTTTGAACTGAATAAGATCTTGATTTTCTCATCCAGGGCAGTTCTGCTGAATTTCAGAAAATAAAGAAATTAAAGTTAAATCCATAATTTTCTCTCCTGGGTAATTATGCATGCCATAATGTTCTCATCTGAATAATTATACTTACCATTCTGCTCTTGCCTGGGTTTTATACTTACCCAGATGTTCTCACCAGGATAATTATACTGTATTTCTCTGTTAAAAGGACTATGGAATTTGCATAATGTTTATTAAATCATGTACATCAGTTGAAGATTTCCTATTTATAATCTTAAAATCTGGTACTGAAATTGACCTTAGCCTTCTTATTTTTGGAGATGTTAAGTTTTAATCTTGCTGGCAGATTTTCATATATACTTGTATTGTCATCACTAGTCAATGTAAGAGGTCTTTCATGGATTTTTGTCACTTTTCAACCTAACACTCTCTACAAAAATACTAGGGGCGCCGAGTGGTCTAAAGCATTGTCCGTTACGGATCACTGCCATCTCACCTCTGGCTGCGTGTGTTCGAGTCTAGGATTCTGCGAATGTGGATATGTGAGAAAGCTTGTCAGTAGCTTCTCGTGGATCGTGGTTCTTTCCGGTGCTTTCCCGGTTTCTTCCTCCACCATTAATTCTGGCCGCCATGAATAGCCTATCGTGTGCTGAAAAATGGCGTTAAGCCCAACAACAACAACAATAATACTAAAGGAGTTAATGTTGGTCGTAATGAATGAATAATAAAATTGTTATCTTTAGTAATCTGTTTAGGGGCTTGACTATTATTTTTAGAACATTTTTTGTGACGAACTATATGGTTTGCTTGGGTACTCCCAATGTTTTATTTAAACTTTTATAAAAGTACCACTAAGGTTCAATTTAGTTGGCCCCATGATGTTCTCCACCATGCTGACTGATGTCATCCTTGACTATGACCCTGCAATTGACATCAGATACCAGAATGAGGGCAAGCTCTTCAATTTGTGGAGACTAAAAGCAAAGACGAAGAGGAAGTGACCATACATTATCTCACATTTACTGGCAACTGTTCCCTGAATGCTGAATCTGAGTCTACCAGTCATTATCAAGAAGACAGAAGTGTTACACCAACCTGCAACAAGAAAGCCTTATGTAGAGTCTACCATAACAGTAAATAGCCAAACCCTATAGGCAGTGCACAAGTTCACCTATCTCATCAGTATACTGTCACAGGCAGCCCACATTGATGATGAAACTGAACCCCAGAATTACTGTAGCAAGTGTACATTTTCAGACTACATAAAAATGTGGGAGTATAGGGGCATTAGTCTGTAAACAAAACCGTTGCTCTGTAAAGTCTTTGTATTGCTAACCCTGATGTGTGCTTGTGAAATTGGACAGTTTACAGGCTACCAAAGAAGATCTTGTACAGTGAACTGAAGGAGGAAAAGTGATCTTAGGATGGTCAAAACAAATACTTAAAAGATTCTTTTGATATATTTCAAAACACTGACCCAGTCTTGGGAAGATCTCGAACAGGATCACTTGTCTTTCACAATTTCATCTATCCATATAGCTTGTGTGTGTGTGTGTGTGTGTGTGTGTGTGTGTGTGTGTGTGTGTGTGTGTGTTTAATGTAGCTTTAACATTTTTTCATTCATATCGCTATGATGTCTACAGTGTGGCAGTTTATAGTTTCTTGTGCATCATGCCACAGACATGTAACATGATGACCCACCCAGTCACATTTTCCTGACACCAGGCCAACCAGTCTTAACACTAATCTCTTAATGCTGAGTGCCAAGTGAGGCAGCTGTAAGTATCATTTTTGTAAGTCTTTAGTATGACTCAGCTGGGGATCGAACCCACAACCTCACGCATCTGAGGCAGATGCTCTAACCGCTAGGCCACTGCAGTCACTAAAGACTTTGATCTGAGGAGAACTGCAGAAGAGTTGCAGAATTGTGAGGAGCTTGTATTTCAGAATTACAGCTTATTTTGTATTAATCAAGCAAACCTAAGCATCACCTTCTGTCAAGTGTGCCACAGACAGTTCAGCACACAAATTGGCCTGATCAGTCATTCAGTTACACACAAAACCAAACCAGTTAGTGATGTCATGGTCATCTTTGAACTTGAAGGATGAACAACAATATCTAGGCTTTAGAACTGGTGAGTCCATAGCTTTTTCATTAAGAGCCTTGTACCATTTTTATATACTATACTTAATAAGGTAGTTTGATATTAAAGCTGGTAAGTGTGGACAAAATTTAATAAAATCATTCACTGACAGAAAATGCTCCTCTTAACACTTTAGGAAATAGTGGGAGAACACTTTCTAGTATATGGTTATCTTTGTCAAGAATTGTTCTTTGTAGCTCACTCTACAAGATAGGTGTAAGGCATTATAGTACCCCATGCCATGGCATCTGCATATGCTTATTGCATATCACCTATTCTTTCTTCCAAGATCATAGGTAAACAGTTTTGAGTGAGTTTCTTGGTGTGTACTAAATCCTCGTCACAAAAAGAGGTCATTATTGCATATATTTCATGGTTCATCTTTTGGTGGGTTAAAGTTTACTTTATTTGGTCTGTTCATGTTAAAATCATAAACTATATTATTCTATTAAACTCTATTAATCACTTATCCATACTACAAAGGAAGGTATTTTTAACCTACATTTCACATATTACTAGGTATGGTTAAGCTTTTGTATTTAGCTTTTGACCTATTAGGTTTTCTTTGCATCCTGTATATATACTATTACACCTATTATTAAATTTTATTGCATACTGTATATATACTATTACACCTAGTATAAGGTTTTATTGCATACTGTATATATACTATTGCACCTAGTATTAGATTTTATTGCATACTGTATATATACTATTACACCTAGTATATTTAATCTTTGTAAGGCATACATCTTGATGAGTAGCCCTACCTTGTTTAAAATAAATTGGATAAATTTTACCTTGAAATTTATTCCTCAAGCTTAGTCCAAGGTAGAATCATCAAGCTAGATGACTGTATACATTACTATTAGTGTTACACCTTTATAACAAACGAGGGTCACATTACTTAGGTTACATTTTACTTAGTTAAAGTTTGTGCATTTATTTCATTACCAAATAAATTTTGAAAACCCTGTGAGTGCCAAGATACATGAATGTTGGTGATGGAATGCATCTGGTTTAGTATTATACTCTTGTCACAAAAGTGGGTCACCGTAACCCACATTGTATTTCACTGGCTTTGATTAGTGTTTCTATTACAATCATCAAACTAGATGATTGTGCATCTTTATCAGAACCACACCCATGCTTAAAAAGCAGGTAAGGGTGACCTATATGTCACATTTTACAAGTCACATGGGTCATATATGCACATTTACTCATTTTAAATTAAGTATAAACTGTTCTTCTAAAATTGAACACTAATTTTCTTTAACCAAAGCCTTTTCAATCCTGATTATTAAATGCTCTATTCCTTAGCTGTTACCAGGAAACTTCCATCCAAAAGTTACATATCACTATGAACTTTTGCAATAATGCCCAAGTACTAAACTTGGATCAAAATAAGAGCATGTAGAGTGGAATCATCACAATTTAGGGTGGTATTTTTTTTATCAATATATGTAGCTTTCATTGTGACATCACAGCAAGCAAAATTCAATCCAGATTGTACTGGATCACACCTTTAGATCCATTTCACCCCAAAATGCCTACAAATTTTAGCAATGAATTTGCCATACGAACCTCTCAGGATGTCTAAATAATGACCTTTCAAAGGGATATTCATGTATATGAATCCAAATGTAGTGAATACATGACACATAAAGGTATGTAAGATCAAATTCTAAAGAATGCCACCCATTACTGAAATTGTGTGCAATGCCTACATGACCTCAGTGACATGTACTATAGTTTAGGTGAAACTTTATCATTTAATTCATGTCTACACATTGGGTTTTTGACTTGTCCTCCTTACAATAATAAAATTTGAAATGCATCTTCAAGAGCATGACTTCCTGAGTTTACTAGTAGGTCATTATGGCTTATAATTTACACTTCACTGAATTGGGTTATTTTTTTGTATTTGATTATCATTTCTTTCCCCAGAGGTTTCAGAATTTTTCAGTAAAATATTATTAATGAAGTGCCAATTAAATGTTGAACATTTTTATTTTAAAATGAATAAATATTCTATGTAAAAATAAAATATTGTGAAAAGAGTTTGAAAGAAATAAAGCTGAATTAAGATGCTGGAGAATTGTAAAAGATGAGGTCAGCCATCAAATCATTGATAACTCTCTGGTTATGTACTGGAACCACCTATGCTAATTTGAGTTTATGTGGGAAAACAGTAGCAACTGGGATTTATTTATGAGTAAAGGGATATTTTTTCAGTTGTTTCTAAGATTTTACAGATTTTCATTATTTTTAGCAATAGGCCACCAATACAGGTGGCCAAATTAAAACTAAGTTTGTTTATTTTGTCTAGACAAAACCAACACCCACTTGAAATAGACTGAGTTTACTTGTGAAATAAAAGTTTTAATGATAGCTTTAGTGCTTGATTCAAGTGTTAGTCACTAAGTTCAGCAAATTTAATACTTTCCACATTTACAAACAAATTTTCAAGCCCTATACTAATCTCTAGCAAGCTTCCTGTTCTCACATATAAAAGTTTCTCTCCACACTTGGCTACCTTTTGTACGAAACTGACCATAAATCTGTTAATTTTGGTTCCTGTATATATTCTCTCTGATTCAAACTCAAGCAAGGTCAAATGCCAGATTGATTTGGACCATGGCAAAAGTTACATATTAAAAAAACACTGAAATACAAATACCTGTTTTATTTTAGCAATTACTACTATTTTAGTAAACAAAGTTGCATTATTTTGATGGTTGATATTTGGTTGTTGAAAAGACAAAAAATAGTTCTTATGTCAAGATCTTCTGATCTTCCCACCATGTCAATCCAAACATGGACGTCCAATACAGCTCTCTTAAGCATCTCATTATCACTACTTCTTCTGAATGGTCATATTGATATGGGATTCTCAGCAGTAACCTTTTGAATTTTTGTTGGTCTTAAATGAAAATGGCACTTCTCTGATGCTTAATATTGCCACCACCACCACCAGCCTGCTCCAATGACCATCTTGAAAATCCTGTTTTTACTGTTTGTCCTGAACCAATAGAATATTGCCTTGTGGTTTTCAGCAGAAGACATCTTAGGATGTCTAGTTGGTTTTAGATGAACATGATACCACTTTCACATCCAATTTGGCCATCTTTAAAGTGGTTTGTTATCACCCCTACTGAATCATATCAGCTTGGGGTTTTCACTGAATGAAGACTTACAATGTCTAGTTGGTCGTAAATGAAATGGTGCAATCGGAATTCCAATATGACCACAACAATGTCCATTTTCAAAAATAATGTTATTACCACTTCTCATGAACATGAGATCATGTTTGTGTTGTGCTTACCCCATAATGCTTCATATGATATCAGGTTGGTGATAAATGGAAAAAAGGTACTGATTTGGTATCCAATATGGTCAACATTACAGCCATCTTGAAAATCATGTTACCATTGCTACTCCAAAACAGAAAGTCATATCAACATAAGGTTTCCACCAAAAGACTATTTATGAAGTCTTTTTGGTCCTAAATAATATTTTGTTTGCCCCATATGAAAATGGTGCCAGACTGACACTCAATTTATTTACCACAGCAACTATTTTAAAAATTCTGTTATTGCTGAAGACTATCAGTATCAGCATGGTTTCAATACCAGTCAAAACCATGAAACGATCTTACCTTGAATTCCTGGACATTTTTTAGCCAGCTGTGTATCAGTCCTTTCAAGGGAATCTTATATTCAGTATTTCAAGGTTTCAATTAATATTAACCTCATAATGTTAACACTGTTTAGTTCCTCCTGTAATCTTTTAATCTTATTTAAGTTTTATCTATTTGTCATTATATTCTAGATCTATTTTAACAGCTTCTAGTTTGTTACATAACAGAACAAGCAGCCTCTTGTGGTCTTTCATTTCTCATGTTAAAAATAACCTGAGACTAAGCTCATTTTGTGCTGTAAATTCCCTTTCAGGAATGACTTCTTGGATAAATTTCCTTTAATTAGTTTGAGATTTGTTAGCTGACATGGAAGCAAAATACTAAAAAGGTTTGTCCATGTTGGTAATAATTTTAGCTCAGTCCTGGGTGGTCACTATTTAAAATCTTCATAAAATTGAATCCCACTAGTTTTTTCTCTAAGTTATGTGATTCAAGTTTTGATCTGCTATTTTAGGAGATTGTACTATAAATTATGCAACCCTACCTTATATATATATATATATATATATATATATATATATATATATATATATATATATATATATATATATATATATATATATATATATATATATATATATATACTCTTCAACCTTGCTAAGACTATCCATTTCTATTGAATATGCATTTATTAACTTATTGAGTACAGTATAATCAGAATTTCAAAATAGTTCCTTTAGTTTAATTGTATATATAATTGTACTCATATTGATGGTCTTGTAATGTCATTAACTAAACCAATCTTATCAATCTGATTTTTTATTGTAAAAATATATGCATGCAATTCTAAATGTGAGATCTTTTGCTGACCCTGATCAATGTGAACAAAAATAGCATACAAACATTTACATTGGTACCAGACAAGCACATGAACTCTCTCAGCGGGTGCAAATGTTTCAGCAGCTTTATTGTATACTTCCATTGAACTAAAGAATAATATTGTTTACTAAATAAAAGACAAGAATGAAAACTGGACTGTTGTAATTACTGGTGGCCTGAATTTGTAACATCAATGAAGGCAAAGCTACTAATGTTGA